TTTGCCTGACCATTTCCCAAAGGTGGCACTGGGGCATTTTTGCTCAGTGCCTTGGAGTGCTGCATGGCTCTATTTTATCACCCATGCTCTTTAACATCTACATGGAACCACTGGGAGAGGTCATCAGAGGATGTGGGCTGAGATGTCACTCAGCTCTACCTTTCTTTTTTATCTGACACAGGTGTGACAGTAGTTGTTCTGAATCAGGGTCTGGCCTTATAATGGATTGGATGAAGGCTAGTAAACTTAAACTTAATACAGATAAGATGGAGATACTGTGGAGAACAAGGAACCCCTTTTCACATGGGAGATATCTTCCCTTTCCTGGATGGGATTGCACTTCTCCTAAAGGACAAGGTTTGCAGCTTGGGGGTGCTCCTGGATCCTAAATTGTTGCTAGAATTCCAGGTGGATTCAGTGGCCAGGAGCATCTTCTATCAGCTGAGGCTGATTATCAGCTGCAGCTGTATCTGGACAGACAGGACCTAGCAACTGTTATCCATGCACTGGTAACTTTCTGTCTAGACTCTTCCAATGCACTTTACATGGGACTTCCCTTGAAGATGGTCTGGAGACTCCAACTGGTCCAGAATAGGTCAGGTAGACAGCTAATGAGGACTGGCAGATATGATCATATAAAGCCAGTCTTTTACCATCTTCCTTGGTTATCAATTAAAGTCTGGGCACAATTCAAGGTGGTAAACTATAGTTTTTAAAGCCCTTAACAGCTTGGGACTAGGGTTTCTATGACTGCCTCTTCCCATATGAATCTACCTCACTCCTTAAATTTGCATCCCCTTCCTAATTTATTCAATTTATATCTTAATTATTTAATTTGCAGTTATTATTAATTGCTATTTTGCTTGATTTTATTGACTTTATTGTTGTTACTGGTTTTAGTGCATGTGATTATTTTATTGCATTGCTTTGTAGCATTGCTTATAAGTAACCAATCCAGACAGCCTATGGCTAAATGAGTGGCATACAAATCAAATAAATAAAGTCCTTTCACACACACACCTCACAATCCCAGTTTGGATTATGTTCCCTCCTCCCACAACTCTTTAATTTAAAAGCACACAATTTTTCAATTGTTAATTGGACAAATGTTATCATATATTTTGCCCAAAGAATTACATTCCCAAGTGAGAAAATGTAAAGAATCCAGGAAGTTTCTTTCAATCCTATTTAAAACCATGCCCTGCCAGGAGCTGTGCTTCTCTCTCCCAGCAGTATCAGTCTCACCAGTGTTTCTTTGACAAAAATCTTTATTGCACCATACAAGTCTCTGAGCATACACAAAGCAAGATGTTGAACCCTTTCTGACATTCTTTATTCAAAACTTTCTTTAGGAGTCCTTCTGTGTCTCTCTTGGGGGTGGAGTGCTGTGACGAGGGCATGCATTTGCTCCTCTTGCTGTGTTCCTAACTGGGTGATCCTGTGATGGTGACATCTAATGGGTCTACCTGACCAGGTGGTGGAATTTCCCCATACAAAACACTATTCATTTCCAAGTTTCCTTCCTCAGGATGGTGCAGCTGCTCCGCATTCCCATGGCTGGGTTGACTGGGCCTTTGGTCTAATTTCTCCCATAGCTAAACCCTGCGGATTCTGAAGACCTTGAGCTGCAGATGGGGTTGGACTGTTTCAACAACAATCCCATTATCAGAGTCTGAGCAATCAACCTCACCAGGATGCATCTCATCATTGGAGCCTGAACTGTCAGTCCCATCACAGCAGGTGATCTGACAGGATGCACACATGTGACATCTTGTCATTGGTCCAGTATGCTTTCTTTTAAAGGGTTTGGTATGGTGGATGGGAATGTTTTCTGTAAAGTGCTAGTAATTCATTTTATATTAATACTTTTCAAAGACAAAGAGGTCATGCACAAATTCAGATATAGGGAAGTTTCTACCATGACAGAATGTAGTTGAATGTAAGCTAAAAGTATAATAAAGAACTTAAGATGCAACTCTTAAGCTAGCAATGATGTTATAGGAACCACTGGATGTATCAGATCTCCCTCCTCTGATGGGGGAAAGAGAGGCCCACCCTCAGAAGACCCACCCTTGGAGGAGGGGATCCAACATCAGCTTCTCTCCTCACAGCCTCCATGGAAACATACTTACTTTCCCCTCCACCAACACAAGAAAGAGTGTGGCTAAAGAGTGTGGGACAGGCACTCAGGTGATCCAAGTTCTAGTCACTACTCAGCCATGGAGCTCACTGGGTAGCTTTGGGCCAGTCATGGACTCTCAGCCTAACCTACCTCACCAGGTTGTTGTGAGGATAAGATTGAGAGGAAGAGAATTATGTAAGCCTTGAGCTCCTTGGAAGAAAAAAAAGACAGTATATAAATACATAAATAAATCAGCTGAACTCTGACCTTACATAGGGAGGATAGGATAGGGAGGACAGGCAAGTATCTGGTTAGGGTCAGGAGATCCAAAGGATACATAGCTTCCCTAGCTCTGACCATTTCTCTAAACCAGCCAGTCAAGTACAATGGCCCTGGAGCTCATCAGACTAATTTCTTCTCTTGGGGTAGCCAGGTGGGAAGAGAAAGCGAGAGCAAGAGAGAGACTGACTGAATGACAGACTCTGGCTGGGGAGGTTAGAAGAATTAAAAACACTGTTTCTGCCTCACTTCCATCCTGCTAACATGAACCTAGCAGGACCTTGGGTATCTCTAAGGCTTTCTGAAAGGGCTGGCCTGGCCGTGTAGTGGGGTTGAATTATGTTTTAGCAGTGCAGAGCTCAGCTGGCAATGATGCTGTATCTATTGTTATTCACCTTCAAGTCCTGCAGATATTTTTAAAATCAGTTAGTCATCATGTTGTGGTCCCTTATTTCCCACAAGGAGGCTCTGTCATTTTAGAGTTTTCTCAATTTTGCCTTTCTTGTCGGTGCAGTGGAGGTGGGGGCTTTGCCTCAGCTCATAGTAGAAAAAAGATCAGTTTGATGGGAGCTCAGCCATGTCATTAGCTGCACAGCCTACCAGACAGCCACTGTGGTGGGAGGAGCAAGAGCTGGCAAACAGCTGTTCTTCAATACCTTTTAGGCTTGCATGAAATGGACCAATGACCCACCTACCCATGCTGATGATTAACAATACCATCATCCTTGATGGGAGCTAACTATGATTATATTTTTTGCTCCTAGCCTGCTTGGTTTATGGAGTTTCCCTGTGCCACTTTGCACTGTTGGTTAAGGCTATTGGCAGAAACAGCTGCTAAGAAATCCTTATGACAAATGTGGTGCTACAAGGGAAACAATAGCATCAGGAAATTGACAAACACCACTAGGCATGTTGAAGTGATTGGCAGGCTATCCAGATCAACCTTCAAGGCTGACTACAATGAACAAACAAAAACGGAGGGAGGGAATCCTTAGAGCACGAATAGTTTTGTCCTTCCTAAAGTCTGGATGGCTTGAGGTTGTTGATTATGCCTACAGCTATATCAACAGCTTGAGAAGGTTAGCTGTAAAGTATCATTTAGAGGCTGATCTCAAGCTACAGTGGGGCTCTCTAGCCAGGATGATGGCTGGATCATAGATTAGGATCCACACTGCTAGGAACTGATTTCCATAGCAGTTAAGTTGTATTACAATGGAGGGCCCGTTCTTTCTGAATATTCTTTCTTAAATCCTTGTTTTGGTATGAGGCAGTGATTATTCAGTAGCAGCAAAATAACAAGAAAAACTGGCCAAAGAATGATCATTATGGCAATCAACAGCATCTGGTTAGAATGTTGGACTAGGACTGGGAATACCCAGGTTCAAATCCCTGCTCAGCCAACCACAATATGCACTGTATAACCTTGAATCAATCTCTGTATTTTCTGTTTTATGAACTTTGCAAACTGCCCAGAGAGCTATGACTATAGGGCAGTAGAGGAATGAAAAAATAATACTCTTTCTTCCTGAGTTATTTCATAGGGTTTTCGCTAGGACATAAGGACACAACCACATGATCCACCTGATTGTTTAATATATGGGATTTTCTGTATTATTTTTGTTACTGTCTAAATCATGATAGGACTAAGTCTGAACTATTATAGCAGTTTAAAGATATTCAGATGTTCTTCTTACTGCCAGAAATTGTTTCTTGTAAATTGAATAAATCATATGCTTATTTATCTAGTTTGTTTACCTAATATTAAAAGACTCTTCTTAGTTGTGGTTAAACATTTCCTCCCAGGAAGACTGAGCAGATATCTTAAAGGTATCCATCATTGAAGAGAAGACCATTCAAAGCATATAATGTTTCTCTGTAACTATATGTATACAAAGAATATTATGCCTTTTACTTTAGTGTAAAATTTACAAAGATCTTCAAACTAAATACATCTTCTCATTGCTGGATCAGGCAAAGGGAAGGACCTCCTTTGGGGAAAAAAAGTGGTTTACTAACTGGACATCACGGAAAGATATAAATTTAGTTAGTAAATTAATAAACATTACTGTTGCATAGCATATCTGTTGATTAAAATATAGTTGCCTTTTCTTATATGTTAGATGACTGACATATCAAAAACCTTTAAATCATGTACAATTTGCCATTATCTTTTATATTTCCACAAAGTAAGTATATCAGCAATAACAACGACAACACCCATTACATATTGGCCTGAAATCTGGGGGTTTAGTATGATTCTTGTTGCTCTTGGCTGAAGACTTTTTTAGCTGTGGGTTGCTTTTTCCTGCTAGAGGAAGAATTTCCCCAATGTATCAGTGTCTAAGCCTCATCCAATATAAAAAGCTCAATTTGTACTATCTAAAACAACATGGGTTCAGTTTTAGAACATGTTACGCTTCTGACATTTTGAGCATGTCTGTGAAAACTCCAAAGGAGAACAAGAATTGTTTCAAAAGGATCATTTATTAAACATTCCCTTTACAAAGTACAATCCACATTTTGTGTAAATTTTGGCTTTATTATTTCATTGTATGTACACAAAAGCTTGAAAGAGAAGGGAAAATGCCTAGACCTTTGTGCTGTGAATTCAGAGCTATTTTTAATCAATGTTGGTCATTAACAGAGGCAATTAACTCCACCATATGCATTTTTAAAATCTGTGGCATTTATACCTGAATGTTAGATGTAATTACCAGAAATAAAGTTTCCAATTTATAACACCAACGCCTTTGGTTATGGTAAATCTGGCTGTTTTGAATTGGGTTTATTGAATTTATTAAGGATCCATGGAGTTAATGGATTGTGACTAGGAACTACAGTGTTAAATGTTCATAGTAACAAATTCTATATATGAATGGACAGTTGGCTTCTTTCTTGACTGGTATGATCCTATTTAGAAAAAAACCCCTGTTGTTATAAAGTAAGAAAATTTAAGGAGCAGGATTTAATAATTTCCTATTAGCAGCAGTTGATAGTAAATGCAACATAAGATTTGTTTTGTCTATGGTATAAGGTCTTTCCCGAGCAGACTCTTCTGTAACATCCACTATCTGAACATGATTGTCTGCATGTATTATATATCTCTGGGACACAAAACAAAAATAGACACACACAAAAAAGCCATTTATTCTCATGAGTGATTATGGCCATCAGCTAATATGAATGCATTGCTAAAAATGAATGAAAAGTAAAAATGCGGCAAAGTAGATATATACAGAGTTAAAATACATTTCTTATCTGCTAGACAGTGTTTCTGTTGGCACTGTGTTCTTGTTTTGTTTTCTTCAAAATGTTAAATTCATTGAGAGCAATGGCATTTTTCAGTGCAAGCTTAAGCAAAAAATACCTGCCCATTGTCATTGAAATGACAGACAAATCTGGAATGTTCAAAAGCAAGTTTGTCTTCTGCTTCTGCTCACAAGGCACAAGTAAGGTGTGGCACTTACTGAATTCATGTGTTAATTCATAAAAAAGAGTAGCAGAAGCCATAATTCCAATATATTTAATTGCCAGAGAGTTGCTTGCATACATGAATGATGTCCACGTAAGGCTTGCTGTGTTAGCATGTCTTTCCTGAGAAAAGAGTCGTGACTTCTTCATGTTTTATCATAAGTGTGCATGTTCAGAGCTGTGGTCACTGTCGTGGCTGTCGTCATTTACTAGCGAGTCCCCTGTGTGCTGGAGGTTGGCTGCGCCAATTCCAGAAAGCTCTGAGGGGAGCAGGGTGCCCTTTTTCACATTCACCAGTTCCTTTTCTCGGGCTGCAGCTCCTTGCTGCCCTCCTTTTACCCGCTTCCACTTCATCCGTCTGTTCTGGAACCAAACTTTGACCTTTGAATCAAAACAAAGAAACATTTAAACAGAGCCACTAGCTACCATCACTCATGATGGAGAAATAATGGCTGGTATTCCTTGCTCATCTTTTCATTAACTTGACTGTATGCCTTAATATTAAATAAACATCTTAATATCGGCATGCTTATTGCTAATACAACTAGCAGAGACAAAAGATGGTGTTGGCTCCAAGTTTGGGAGAAACTGCTGTGAAGCACTTGCTGAACATGGGTAGGCTTCTGACATTGGACTTACTAAGCAGTGGTGAGCAGTGCCCATTTTAATTTATGATAGTGCCCCAACACAGTGTCACTCCATGGGATTGTGGGAACTTGGAATGGCTGTTCACTGTGACCCTGCCAAAGTAAGAGCAGATAAGCTACTGGAATTCAGGGACAGCACCGCCTCTGAGTATGATACATGTGGCATGCAATTCTGACCTGAGAAGCAAAGTCTCACACCTGTCATGAAGCTTCAAACAACGACCCTCCATTGACAATTCTCATTTCTTAAAGTTAATTTCTAACAGTTATTTGCTTGTGGAGGTATGAGGAAAGAGTACAAGAGGTTGTGTATCCAACTTTCCAGTTATCATTATGCTTTCATTATTGTAACTGGTGGGTTTGAACCAGATGTAGTCAAACTTAGAGTAGACTTACTTAAATCAGTTGAGCTTAAGTTGGTCATGATTAACTTAAGTCCAACTAATTTCACTGTATCTACTTTAAGTATGGTTAGTCTGAATCTAACCAGTAATTGCAGAGTCATTGGGATAATTGATCAGGTCTATGCTCTTCACTTAGATGTTATAATTCTATCTTATTAATATTTCATATAATATTTATATGTTTTCATATATTTTATATGAATATTTTAAAGAGCATTAATGACAATGTGTCTTTTACTGTAATTTTTTCAAATTTAAACATTCACCATTTTGATCACGCATTGTATATAACCAAAAAAGAAAAAAAGCACTGAAAATTCATGCAGTGAAAATGTGAGAGATGACTTGAGCACACAACAGATGGCATTTTTGCTGTGACTGCATTTTTTTCACTTTGCTTGCAGTTTGAATGTAGAAGCATCGTTCAAACTGCAAAGCAATTTCATCTCAACTCTAACGTTTGAGCTCTGGATCATTCAAAGTTAGAGTCATTTGAACTATGAGGCACCACTGTAGTACAGAAATTCTACTGCTTGGCACAGAGTATCCAAAATGAGAGGCAGTGCATGAGAATCCTTCTTTTGATGGCCAACTTCTTCTATGTTATAGGGATCCACTGAGGGTATCTTGCCCCAAATCTTAGAGCTGGAACTAAGACTGAATTTAGACTGACTCAATCTAATTATCCTTTATGTGAATTTGGAAACTTCTGTTTTTATGTTTATAATTTCCAAGTGACTATGTAGCATTCTTTTTTGTCAATAGTTGTATATATTTGCAAGTACGTGCAAGTCTTTTTTTTACAGATGGAGACTTATGCGGGTGGTAAGCAATGTGCCATTATTAGTATTAGTTTAATTAATGTTCAACAAGAGACATGTTGGCTCACCACTCTTATAAAATGCTGGAGTACATGTAGTCATTGCAGGATTGAAAGGAGAGGGTGTGGCTATTCTTCTTTAATATATCTTACACGTATTGTGGTCCTGGACTATTAAAAATGTGGCTTTCTAAAAGGAAAGCTGGAAAGAAAAGTTCACATCATGGAAAGATGGGAAAAGTAGGAAGTTGCTGTGTCCTTGGCTATGGTTAATGTTGTTTATTTCTTGGCTTTAAAGAGAAACTTCATGATACTGGCATGACATATTATGCTACATTAGTAAAAGAACCATGCTATTTCTGTATGCTTAACTTATTTGTACATTTGTACAACTTCACAGGGCAAGAATAAGCTTTGGGAAGTAAGTTAAATTTTACTGCAAATAGTAATTGCTTTATTATTCAATGTAAACTTTCAGAGTCTATTATTGTGAATAGACTGTGACTTTATTTATTTATATGTGTATTTTATTTAATTTCATTTCAATACTGCCCATTAGCAAAAGCTGTCTAGGCAGGTCGCAACAATTAAATTATACCAAGGTCAAAGTTAGGTCTTGTTGCCATGTTACTCTTGTAATTAGACTAGATTTAAATATTTAGAAATTGCAGCAAGGTGCTTCCAGATTAGTTAGAAGTTTCTAAAGCATTCCCAGCACATCCTTTTTCCTAGACATTGAAGCCAAAGAAGCAGGCTAGTAAAATAAAACTAATGGAAGGAGGAAAGTATTTATTGGTAGTTGCTCTGATGTTAGGAAATACTGTTACGCCATCTGTCAAAAGCTTTCACAAAAACAATGTCAAAGGGCTCATAATGTGTGTACTCTGCATGCAGTTCTTTGTGGTAAATTATATATGTCACTTTTCACAATGAATTTCCCGTAGTAAAATAGTACTGTGTTGTGAATGCCAAATACTGTATTAAGCTATAATGCTTGGGACAATTATTTCAATACGAATCTATCGAGTTCAGTGAATCATGGATTTGTCTCTCTTGCTGTAAAGTCTTACCACACTTTTTTCATATAAGGGTTATTTATATGCATACATATCCATAAAACATATGGAAAAATGATAAGATTTCATGTCTTCTATATAGCTATGAGATGTATCCATGGAAAAATGTAGATCATGCCTTTTAATAATCAATTGCCCAATGCAGCATTAGAGAACCAGTTTAGTGGTGCTCCGAAGACACTGGAGATCTTGAATCTAGTCCCCACTCAACCATGAAGCTCACTCAGGGACTTAAGGCCAGTTACTCACTCTCAGCTACTTTATTGATTGATTGATTGATTGATTTAAAACATTTTTATGCTGCCCCCATCACAACGAAGCCTCGGGGCGGCTCACAACAGAAACAACCTCACGGAGTTTTAGTTGTAAGGATGAAATGGAGTGGAAGAGGGCTATGTAAGCAACCTTGGCTCGCTGGCAAGAGGAAAACAGGTGAGATTCAAATATAAGATGGTGGTGGTGATGGTGGTGAAACCCAAGTGGAAGAAAGACCAGGAACCCTGTAGCTGCATTCACTGTGAATTACATAAAACCCAATAGATCTCTATTCAAACTGAGATCCTGCATATTTTATTTAAAATGCCCAGTACACAAATGATGCCATTTGAGATGAACATTCAAACCAAAAGATTGTTTTATATTCACAACATTCCTATGGAGGCAGGCAGATAAAGGTATAAATTTTCATTTTATTACATTCTACTTTCATTTTTGTAAACAACAATCCTATTATTTTGTTCAAGATCAGGAAGCAAGTAATGGGAATTTAAAAAATAAAATAAACAGCATATCAGAACAAAGTACAACAGAGAGATTATCTACAATGTTTTGAGAGAAAGGAATAGAGAGGAATCAAACCTGATTCCAACAATAATGGCAGTATACAACTAAATGGAGTTTGGGAAAATCAATTGGTCAACCTAGGAGAAAAGTGCACCAAATATGAAGACCATGGAAGCTTAGCAATATTTAGTAGAAAGACATTAAGATGCAGACCAGCAAAGTTTAAGTATATGCTACACGGGAACTGAAAATACATGACAGGTACGATGCAGCTATTTTGGTATGGTGAAGCTGAAACCAGCACAGATATACAAGATGACTGGACTGATGTCTACTTAGTGTCAGGTTAACTAGATTGTGATGAGAAGTTCTGTAGAGTTAGTCAGGTTCCATTTATGGAATAGGAAAATAAGGCAAATCTGTTCAGTTTGGCAGATTATTAAAAAACAAAACATACCTCATGATGAAGGAACATCTCTATAGAGATCTAAGAAATGCAAACACAAGGTGAAGGAAAAGAAATTATAAAGGATAACATGTGGATATGGAGCTAGCATGAAGAAACCAGGAATAATGCAAAAGAGAAAAATTAACTGAAACATGTAGCACATGTTCTATTCAATTTAACATGTGCATTGACATTCAGTGTGGAGTGTCACTATATGGTGAGGCTGGTTTATAATGACTGGCAACTGAGGAGTAGCTAAAGATAGGATAGTCACATGTATTCCTCAAGGGGGGGGGCGGGGAAAGCATCAGTGCAAGAACCTCTAAGGATCTAAGAATATGGAAATGGGATAGAAGTCTGGACAAATCTTGAGGAAATATACTTTATGGCGATATCCGACAGAGGAAAAAAACATTGGGCTGGTCAGTTCTAATAACTCTCTTATTTTTTTTCTGCCTATATGAGTACAAGTATGTTTGAGTAATTGTATTTTTATTTTAGATTGCAGAGAAATGGCAATGAGAATGGAAAAATAGATAAAACTGCTTGAAACATAATAGGCCCAAATTGCAAAGGTCATATGTAAAAAGAGGTGTAAATTGGCAAGTGCCTGTGAGTCTAAGGAAGTGAGTAAGCCTGAGGGAGTCTAAGTCAATCTAAGGGAATCTACATTGGCTAGTACATATATGCAAGGCCTGGAAGAAAGCATAAGTTAAACCATCTGAGCCTTCCTCTAAATTTAGATGCCTTCTGGCAAAATTAAGAAGTGGTCTGTGCATGATGAAACAAGGACTTTCTCCCTGAGTCCTTCTCTTCACTTTTATTTCCATTAGACCTAGGCTGTGAATAAGATACATCAGTTAGTCTATTTTCCTCTTAAGACAACTTTCAAATGTTTCAGTAAGATGAAGCCAACTTATGGGTAAGTATACAGATATCAAGAACTTTAATGAACTATCCTGTTCATTAGATTCACTACAGGACAGCTAAAACATAGTGATGACAAGAGAAAACTACAGCTCAGTAGCTGAACACATGCTTTGCATTCATAAAAGTTCAGGGTTCCAGTCTTAAATCTCAGGACTGAAACGGATCTCTGCTTAGAACTTTAAAGAATTGCTGCCAGTCAGAGTAGGGAAGACTGGAGTACTTAAATTAAAAGTATGGTTGGGTATAAGGGTAGGTCACATATACATTCAAAGC